TACAAGTTCTATCTTATATACGCTTCTAATCATCTGATGGGGCGTTTGCTGAGATGAATGACAGGCTCATGCCAAAGAACAGCTGTCTTTTGATGCTGTCTATTATCTGATGAAATCGAGAGTTTTCTTTGTTTGTTTCTGCCGTATAAGTGCCCCTTGATAAAAATGAATGTTATATAATCGTTAGAACCTTTCTATAAATAAGGACATATAAACGGACACCATATGATAATTATAAAACATGTACAAATATTCAAATTAAAAAAGGTGTTCTCACATTGAGGAACGTGAAAGCCTGGTTGAAAGTCTTTTTGCTTCTAACGGTTTGATCTAACCCTTCGCCTATACATTTTGAGCCTTTTTTTTTTTCTTCAACATTTGGTAATAAGAGTGATTGATGCATTTGCTTTTCCCACTCAAAAATAGACACATCCTGATATAATCAGATTAGATTGGTCTTACTGAGTGCATTTTCCTGTGAATGTTTTGACAAGCGGGTGGCAATTTAAGCTCAGTGCCCGTTCGCATTATTACCCACTGTCGGTGGTTTCAAACTACCTAACTGGTTTCCCTGCATGTCAGGGGGTGGGGGGGGGGCTGTTTCATGGCCACCCCTTGTTCTGGTTGGGTTTTTCCCAGTGCTATTGGAATTCTTCCCTGCGTTAGCAAGACAGCAGTGTTTGCGGTACAACTGGAAGCAAAATCGATGCTGTCTTGCTCGGATTTTGAAAAAATTTGAGGGATTGCTCCCATAACCCAAAAGCCCACTACAGCTAACAAGCAAGTGTACAGCTGCATGTGGAGCAGCCTGTACACTGTTCCCCACCAACACCTCCACCTCACTACCACCTCTACCCACCTCACTACCACCTCTACCCACCTCCACCACTTACCCACCACCGGTGTGGGTTTTTCCATCACCTGTCGGAGGTGCGAGTTTTTGATCCAGCCTGGCATCGGACGCCATACTCACGCCCTGCTTGCATATCTTCGACGATCATTATTTCTCCTTCCCCGCCCAATTTCAGCCAAGCTCACTTTGTCACGTGTATCACCAAACATACTGTTATGCCTATTGAATGTAGCCATTCATATGAATTTGTCAAACTGAAATACGAAGTTGCTTTACCAAATATCCACTCCAGCTGTTACGTTTGCTTTGGTATGTCCCGTGCTAAATGAGTCATATTTGTCATAGCCGCGTGGTGGCACCTGCCTTATCCTCTGTCGATGTAATGCAGCAATCTCCGGCTTGGTGGGGGCGTCACTGTCCACTCAGCCATGTTTTGTAGTGAATTTAGAACAGGACAGAAGCGCTTGATCAGTGCCAGGCGGGACATAATTAACTTAGTCCTTGATCCAATTCTCCCACTTAAAAACGATCACTGCACACCTAAAGGAAGGCCTTGTGGGGAAGTAAAGGATGAGGGAAGTAAGGATTGAGGACAGGGCCTGCGAGTTCTTCCGGCTTAAAGGATTACGGCGCGTATTCTTTGCACAAGGAATAAACAATTAAACTTGTATAGGTAGTGGCCTGATGTTAACTTTTAAATTAGTATTCACAATTACACTGTATTATTGTAATAACCCTTTTATTCTAAGCTTTGTTCCCCCCCCCCCC